TCTGGAAGTTGATACGTAACGCGAGTCCAACACACCTAAATGTTATTTCAAGATTACTGGACTAATTGTATATGGTCTAACTTACACCCGAACAGATGGAATAGGATATCAAAATGAAGCATATGATGTTGTCATCAAAGGAGAAATGTCATCAACCATCCTCAGTTCAGAGAAGCCAAATGTCACTAGAGCAAAACATCTCTCACCGAAGCGCTGTACACCCCGATCTGTAAGTACTGCTGAGTAGGGGCTACCAGTGGAATCTAGGACATGTTTCATCCTACTCCGGACTCATCAGTTGCATGTACCTGCCTACCACTGAGTAACGTTTTGTCTGACAGGACTCGAACCCAGGATCGAACGCTTCATACGTCTGGGTGTTATCCACTAGACTACTGAATAATGGTAGGGACTCCTAGTTGTGCATCCAGCCTTTTACCACTGCACTACAGTCTTAATTACGTGAGGCTTTGGCTCATTGGTTTAAAGAGATTACTTTTAACAAATGGGTCACAGGTTCGAACACGGCCCCACCTATCTACATTTGGGCAGCCAGGTAGTAGTAAAATTAACCCTCACTTAACAGGTGTTTCTGATTGCCTACTCGATGAATGTGCACAAGGCTGCTGAGTGAGTTTCAAGCCTTAACCAGGTGCAACGCTATCCAAATTGACCTGTCCCTGAGAAATCTGTTTGTTATTTGAGAATTAAACAGTATTCCTTACAAACTCAAAGTAGGAACAGTTTTCTCCTGGTGGCAGATATACATCACCGTGACATGTGCTTTTCAGGGATTGATAAAATATGCTACCATAATAAAGTTAGGGGAAAACAGGTAAAGTTAAGCACTTCTACTCAACCCCACTGCCGAATTGCTACAATAAAGAGAGGTGGGTGTATGCCACCAATATACCTGTGATGTTCGGTGTCGTATAGAAAAACACAACAAAGAAACTCCACCCTTACGCAATGGGTAACAACCAGACTTAGGTTTGAGAAACGAAAGAATTGCTGATCTGCACTGAGTATCACAAATTTCAACAATATGCCTTAGAATAACGGCGTATTCAATTCACCTATCACGTGGACAAAAATCTGTGACAATTTCGTTCAATTTATAGGTATTCTGAAAATTATGACATTAGTAGTCATTTTCAATACAGTCGATACTAGTCAATACTGTGATAGTTTCCATACACATCATGTAAGCCCTTTTTAAAGATTGGTACCAAAATCCTGGATATCAGGCCAATGAGACATTAAGTCTGTTATAGCTTCATGAAAACCCTATTTATTTGCCTGACTATAGTTGGTTCTTTCTTCTTCAAAAGACCTGGACCAAACTCTCTAGTTTGGGTGCCTTAGGGATTTTGGGACTTGGAGTTCAATCTACAGCTGCACTTCGTTAGGTTAGTTGATTTTAACCAAGTATGCAATACAGTACAATGAAGTTGAAATTACTGAAGTACTACATCAACCTAAATACTTTCCAAAGTGCTCTGTCTGTCAGGCTGGGAGATTTTAAGAACATTTTTAGGATAAGACATCTATCTCACATACCGTCTGACTGAAGTCCGGTTTCTCACCACATTAGCTTTCATTCAGAGCCAGATTCAGAGGCTATTTTCACGCCAGTGTAGTAACATGATCAATGGACTTTGCGATCATCACACAAGTGTAGTGTACTGTACTCGCTATCCACCAGGGTGGAACAACTGGTACTGAGACTTTAAAGTGTTTATGAACAGGAGTTTGTTCCAGGTTTCTTCGTCCATACCTTGTAGGACAAAATGACACTATGCTAAATAATTTGGTGTATTAGCCATCATGTAAGAAACCTTACTAGTTGTGTGATGGCATGTGCTTTCCCTGAAACTATCATTATAAAGTGCTGCATCATGATATTAATAAGGACGGACATAATGCTTAGGTGCTTAAGTCAAAACAGATGACTCTCTTAGATGACCTCTTCATGAGACTTTGATCTTAAGTCTAGCCCTGAATGTAGTGACCAGAATCAGGCCACGATTCATTCATTTTTAAAATTTCTAGACTTATGTACATCATTGGTTGGGAATCATGGTTTTCTTGCCGTCTTTAATATCCATGGGTTCAATAGTATGCTTTAGGCATTCCTTTACCTCTTTCCACTGTGTAACTAACTGTCAGGGAGTATAAAAATATCCTTTAGATTCCTCAAAGAGGCCTGAAAAATTTTCACAGTCAATCATAGCATGTTAAACGTTTGCGAAAAACCACGTGATCATGCGCACGAGACTCAGAATGTCTTAAAGACTTTCTAGAAAGGCGTGGAACTCCCCAAGGCTATCAACAAATGCATAGAAACCGTTAATTTTTTGTACATATTCGTTTTTTACGCTTCTTTTTAGTCTTTGAGGAACCGAGCAACCCTCAAGGGTGGGGCCTAAGGTTATTGTTCAAGAGTCCACCTATACATAGCTTCATGTATATCTTTCACTAAGATATATCAGTAAGTATGTAACAAGAAACCATTAAGTTGGTAGTTTAGTCGTCGAAGCTATGAATGCATGACTGAACAGTAGCTTTTGTAGATAATAAATTGGTTTAATCCACCTTGCATCATACCAGAGTACTGAGGATATTTAGATTGCTGATCTCTTAATTAGTTGAAGATTTAAAGATCTTGGTTGGTTTCTTATCGCTATTGAAATATACGACTGAGCAGTTTAAGCAGTCAGAAATCACTTAGGCTGGTCGGTAGGTTTCGCCAATCAGATCAGAGTGATCTAAACACCGGACGACGGTTTCGCCCATTTGAGACTGAGCCAGCTCTTCAGCAGTGTACCTGGACAAGAAGAATCGTTCAGATCACCTTAATCTATCCGGTGAAATCTACAGATCACCCTAGGTGGTTTCTAACTACTTAAGTTGGTCAGAAGTGGTATATTTCGCTAGTTCATACCACTTTTGTGTTAGAGATCACATCTTATGATCTTGTCTGATGGGGGCAACTCAACGGAAACCTTGCTGATGCTACGTTTGTGCGGCAGTTGTAAAACTGTTCAGCTGTAAGAAATGTCAACGTAGACTGTGCAATATGTAAATCATCTACAAAATGATCATCTTATTCTTGTCTCTAAGTTGAAAAATTTTGCGAAAATATTTGCTAAAACATGAAACTGATAAAGAATAAAATTAGGATGCAAACTCATTCATAATCGTATTCAAATATATGAATCAGAAAATGTAACAACACTGAGAACTGGTTCCGTCCTCGTGTGGGACTGATCAGCGCCACGCACCCATGATCCTACCACGTACCAATCTGGGAACCGTCAGATCACACGTCTAGCGTGTTACCGTTCAACTGCTTGGTTGAAATCTAGTAGTCCAAATTAGTTTATTCTACCAATTCGTGATATAGCTATTTAATGTCATCGACGAGTTTAATTTTGTCCTCATACCCGACTTGGTTGATTCCACAGGTCAAGGCTTCTTATGAGTAGTTCGGGAAATCCTTCCAGATGTATATGAAAGATGAGCCCATAAGATCATGAGCTCATAGTCCCGAGCTCGACTCCTTCAAAGTTCTTTGTGCACGTGTAAACATTAGAGAAATGAAAGTAATGATTTGGATTAAAATTCATATTTTCAACTGTTGTTGTATTGACTTTCAGTAGGAATACCTGAGTCAGTTCTTTAGTTAGACAGTAACAGGAAAATTTGTTTTTACTTTTGGGGAAGTTACAGTTTACTTCCAAGCCTTTTGAGTTTGAAAAAGATGGTTTTCGAAGGTTCCAATGTCTTGGTAAGTTTAGTTTTTGAAATTTTCAAAGCCTGTTGATCAAAGAATTATTTTTATTCAATCAATTTTATCGAATTTAGGGATTTGTAGGGATTTTCTCAAGTTGGTATTCATCATGGACTGACATCGGTTTGAGGGCCATTGGAAATCTGGGAGCACTGGACATATGTTTCGTCCTAGTGTAAGACTCCCCAGCAGTGTGGACCCACAATCCCATCAGGGGTGGAACCCACGACCTTCAGGTTCGTGGGGGCATTGGACAGCTGTTTCATCATAGTATGGGACTCCTCAATAACATTCACCCACGATTCTGTAGGGGATCGATCTCTGAAACTTCAGGTCTCGTGGTCAACAGTGAGGAGTCTCACAATAGAATGAAACAGTTGTAGAGTGCTCCCAGGTTTTCAGTGGTTCTCTAACTGATGTCAGTCAGTCTTTGATGAATACTACCTTAGAAGTAGAACTTTCAGTCGTCTGTCAGACCTACTGACTGTTTTTTATTGACTTAAAAATACTTTTTCAAATTACGTCAGTTAAAAAAATACGAAAAAAAGTTAGCCAATTTTTCACTGATGATATTTAATGTGAAGATGAAGTAATTTTATACATTTTATACATTGTTTTTAAAAATCATATTGCCGAAAATTCAACGATCTGTTGAGATTACTGCACAATATGTAGATTCATAATATACTCCTACCGATTTTTTAAAGTTTGGTGATATTTCACGTCAAATTCAACTGTTGTTAGGTCTTTTATGCCGCTATACAAATACAATGGTTTTCCATGTGGTATATTACATACCTACTTACGGTAGGTATAATGTACTTACTCTTAAAGCACACCTTTCAGCCATCGTCAACTCACAATCTCTTGACACACCACTTGTTAATAATTTGAATGAATTGATGAGACACGTGACTTTTCTGCATACATTTTCTGCCCTGGATGTATCCAGTCTACTCCAATTTCATTGGTGGATTAAAAAACGTGTGTAAAAATGCTAAACCATCCCATCTAATCATTTAATTGGCTAAATCATATTACTAAAAATATGTCGAAATATTATTGGCTAATTTGAAGAAATCTAACCAGACAAGGCTTATTTGATTCGTCAACTCCGATTGGCATGTTATTCGAAAAGTAATCGGTTGCTACGTACGTGCTGAGGTCTCATCCTTCATAAGGTTAAAGCCACAAGACTTCTATCCGAATGAGTGATGACAAACTGGATCCACCTAGCCCTTATATTAATGCAGACAGTATTTCACAAACGTGTATTCAGCATTTGGAACCATTTTGTAGCCGTTGTATAGTTCACACTGTCGAGTCGGATTTATTGCCTATATCTGAGATATCCCAATCACCTAGCCTAGATTTGTTTGGAGAACCAATAACATCGAGTCCGTATAAAGATTCTCCACCTATTGGTAGGATAAAAATAAATACCCCATCCTGTTCCTGGAAGAATAGTGAATCTTCTAATTCCATTCAGCAAATTTGCCCTCATACGGACAGCGGGTTTTCTAGTTGGACTGGAGTTGGCGATTCAAAAACAAGATCACCACCAAATTTAGTTCCATCTTGTTGTGCCTTGCCTCATTCTGTTTACGCACCATTGACATCATCCAACCGTGATAGTGATTTTATGTTCAGTCAATCTGGTGAAGATCTTTTGTCTTGGGACCCAGAAAATCTAAACGAGTCAGACGTTAATTCCAGAAGTTTTGGTACTAACCCAGGTCCATGTTTGAGTAACCTGCCATGTGCTAACGATTTGAATGAAGAGCTTTCAGATAGGATGTTTGTAAGAAGCATGGGTGATATGGTGAAAAATCCACCTACTTGGTCGGCTCCATGGCCTTGTTCAAATACATATTCTTCTTGCGCATATACCATGTAATTCCACAGCACAAAATCCTTTGGATATGCTAACCAGTTATTCAGAAACTACTCCGTCTAATTTTTCACCCTTTTTGTCGATTGGGATGAATCCAGTAAACCAAGATATGTGTGACGATCCTACAAGTTTAGATGCATGTGGCGATATGGTAAATGATATCACGAATGAAACGTTTGCAACTGCAACTGGTCCTAGTAACTTATTCCCATCAATTATATTGCCTAGCTGTGTTTATGCACGTGAAAATGGCTCTTCTACTCATTTACATCGCCCAATTCCTACTCATGATGTAAACACTAATCACAACTCTCCATCATCTTCGAATTCTTGTTCTTCCATAATAAACTCATATTCAAATTCAAATATCTGGGAACAACCAAATCGTAAAAATGGTAACAATTCCAGTTTACATACTTCAACGTGTTATACCAGTAACAAACGACCTAGAACTGTTTCCTACACTGTTTACTTAGATTCTTCACATAGAAAAAGCTCACAGGCATACAGACCTGGTTCCGCACCATTGCAACATAATAACTTACTTATTCCTGAAGAAGATTCTGATTCAGTTGATGAAAACAATGAAGACCCAAAAGAAATACAAGATGATAACCACTGTGTTCATCAGCGTCGAAATAAGAAACTAAACTCAAAGTTATGTGCCCGTCGTTTCTCACAAAACTATTCTTCACGTGGTGAGTGTACTACAGACGAAAAAACAGATATTGGTGAGAGTGCATACAATTCTATGCATGCTACTGCATCAAGAGTAGAACACTTCAACAACTCCACAAATCATATCATCTATGACAGAAAAGGGAATAGAACTGATCAACTAATGAATACTCATATAAATTTGGTCAGCACAGATTTGTCTGAAGTTTCTTCGTACCAGTGCCTTACAAATCTACCATTACCTTCAGACAGATCAGTTCAACATAATGAAAACTGTTCAATCACCCGTACAAGAAACATTTCACCAAGTAATATTGGTAGGTCATTCGTGTCAACCTACATTTTGTTTTACCTTTTATGTATCATGTGAAAATTATCTTTAGGTTCTCTAGATAACCATATCATTCATTGCATATTGAAATTAGAGTTTTGAAAGGAGATTAGTTCATTTGCAGCATTCCTGTAAGTGTTGATCATTATTTCTCATGGTCTCCAGTCATCCTTACTTCTAAGAGTTCTACATGGGGTTCAGTGGTTTGAGGAGTTGACTTTCAACCGGTGCGTCACGGGTTCGAAACCCACTCCACTTACCAAGGTTTAGACAGTCAGGTAGTGTATCATTAACCCTCACACCAGTGGTTTGACTCATTGCCTACTGCACAAACGTGCACAAGGCTGTCGAGTACATTTTGATTTTCCACTTTTAATACTAGAATGGAATTCAAAGGTTAACTATTCGCAAATGACAAAGGATATTTCAGGACAGTTAAGTGAATGGTATAATTCATCAATGCACCGTGGAGAGGAATTTTCAGATTATCAGAAGCTCATTTTTATGAGGATCAGTCGACAACTACACAACTTTCTACGTCTTGGCTGAAACTTTTCCAATCCTGTTTCTCAAGCTAGAAAGTAGAAAGTATTCATTTCTTAGGTACGTAGGTAGATAAGTTGAGTGGAAGATGTTTGGCAATTGTTGTTCGACGTTTAATTCGTTTTAAGTTGATAACCTGAGCGGTTGGTTTGAATGCCAGGTGATTATTTCACATCGCAAGCTTTAGTGACTTAAACGTCGAGCTTCTTGTAACAGAATAGTACACTGTGTTTATTTCCTGAGACCAAAGATGAGGAGTAGAGGAATCGATCAGATAGTAATGATAACACGATTCAGTTCATCGAACGAGATTAAGGACTAACTTGACTGGAAAAAACATATAGTAGGTTACGTCTATGAGCTCATCATTTCACTCTTCTGTATTGCATGACTATAGTATAGGGTGTTAGCTGAAGCCTTCCTCTGTTCAAAATTTCATCAACTATCATGCTGTTGGCAGTCAGACACACCTATTTTGTGATGGCTACCTAGTTCCCAGGCTTCAATAAGTGGAACGGTTTTCGAGCTCGTAACCCATTGGTTGAAAGTCAACTGGCTAGATCAATGCCACAGATTCACTGTTTATTTTCTAGATCGAACTGATTATGATCCAATCTCCTTGTGAGTAGTTATTAATGGGGTTCAGAACATCCTTACTGTGACTTATGACTTGAAAGTACTCACATATGTGTTGGTGCTGTAGTGAAACTTTAATCCAGTAGCGCTGTCATTTCAAATTTGGAAGTATTAGTGACGCTTCAAATGTTACTTGTATTCAAGTAGTATTGAACACCCTCCTAGAGTTAGAATGTTTTTACTAAATATGGTTATTCTAAAGAAAATGAACCAGTCAGTTTTGTTTAGTTTCCGATTCATCATAATGAAAGGTTTTAGAAGACAACTGGGGCAGTAGACGTTAAATATGGTACACCTTGCACTAAAACCGTCATTTGCAAAATGTGCTTCATTTCCTCTTCTGCTTCTTTCTTGATTCACTCTTCACACGCATGCTTTTCTCTTGACGGAATCGTTACCGATTGCTAGTAATTCCGTATGATTTCTGCCACGCTCTCAACATATACTACTTATATTCAGTCTTATCAGAAACGCCCACTACAACAGGACAATGTCAACGATTTTACTATATTGTAGATTAAATAAGGTAGGCAATGAGACAGTGACACTGATTCCTTTCTTTGAACTACAACAATTGTCGATTTTGCACTAAGATTTTGATAAAAGAGATTGATGCATTTTTATTTCTAGGGCGCCCTTTCCTTTATATGTACCTCGGTGAGGGGTGAGTGACTCTAAAGGCTCACCATAGCAACAACTGAAATACCAAATTAGAATTCTTTATTTTATGAAAATCTGCTTTTTCAAGCTAAATAGTGAAACCTAGTTGGTCATTTCAATCGTTGCTAGGTTAGCCTTTAAAATCACTTGAGTGGATTTCAAAAAATGATTGAGTTATTGAGGATGAAACCGACTGTATGTGTAAGGTTAAGGTGTATATGATAAAGTTATATTCCATGCATATTTTTTTGACTGCAACCTGTTAACTTGGTATTTCTATTGTCCGTTGTAGTAGTGTTTACTGTCTTGCTTTGAACACAACAAAGAATGATGTAAGTATGCAACTCGACCATTATATGAATAAAATACTTACAGACATCGTTTAAGTTGAGGCTTTTAATAGTGGCATATATCTTATTCTTGACACGTAGTAATACTCACTTCGATTTTAACTATAATCATCAAAAGTAAGGTTCCGCTCTAATCCTCACTATCAGAATCAATAGACGACTGTATGAAATATAAAATCCAAAATAATTGTGTGTCACTTCACATCAGAACATAGACAAAGAACCTAACAGGAAGTAAAAATAAACAAGTTACAAAAATACTCTGAGCAGTTATAAAAGGACATACAGGCGAAATAGGAGAGAATACAAAGAATAAATGTACACAATAATACGATTTTCATGATATGGATGGTGTTGGGTAAATACAATATCAAGGACGATTAAAAGAACTTTTTATGCAGCCAATAGTTACTCATCGTTTTCTAATCGACGATTTTTTTTGCATTAGATGTAAAACAAGTTACCGAGTTTTGCGACTTCCATGCGTACTTTCCAATTTCATTGCTCATGTGGGGAGGCAATTATATAGGGCGTGCGACTAGACAACTTAACCACGTATTACTGAACACCTACCTTCCTGGGTGGCAAAAGGACAGGTTAAATCTATAAGAAGCTCTATTTTGTCGCATCTAGTTGATAGTGATCACAGAGTAGATAAAACGAAAGCGTTGAGGCTATAAGAATTTCAATAAACAATCGAAAGCTCTGTCTGTATTCAAAAGAAATTTGTACTGCCTTTATCCCTACCTTGACCAAAGAAAGCTGAATGAATGACCTTATGAGTTGTAAAATGTTCTTTCCAGTTTTATTTTATTTTTGTCACCCTTTTCACACCGCTGTAGTATTCACATTCGAAATTTATTCATTCACTGTCTCCATCCTCTAGTATTACGCAACCTTATTATCCTTTATCAAGTCTTGACCTACTTTATCTGTCTGTCTGAACACCTGTTTACATTATCGTGTCATTCTGAACATTCGTATTATCATCATTTTGACTGTCTAGCGTGGTTTGGCAGACTAGTATTGATACTGGGCAATGGTTGAAGATGAAATGAAAATATGGATCACGCCTGGATTCGAACCAACGACCACCGAGTTTCCGCCCGATGATCTACCAACTGAGCTACAAGGTCAGCAATTGGACTTCGTAGCTCGTATTATCCTTTATACCAACACTAATTTTTCCTACTGTCAATTACACAATCCGCATCCTTGTTATCGTTGACTCACAAATTGCATTAATTAGCTCATATTTTATATGAAGGTTGATGAAATCTAATTGAAAACAATATTGTTCGCTTACATGTCTATCCTACCACCTAACTTTCAACTATCGATTTCGGTTATCTCTTGTACTCGTACTGTAAAGTCTACTCTTCGTCAAATGGCACTGACTATCAGTTTGGCTGATATCAGTCCCACAACAAAACACTCTCATACCATTGGATTTCCAACCGATCGGTTATGGGTTCAAATCTAGTTCCATTTGACGAGGTCTGGAAAAACTTTACACAATAAGTGTGGCTTATTGCATTAACGTGCACCATAGTTACTGAGTGCATTTCTAATTCACAGTTTGTTCTTATAGTTTCTAAAGTTTCTGTTTTCTACTCGTTAAAATCAACATGTTACCGTGTAATATTTTTATTATATTTGTTTTTTCGATATATATTCATTATGTTTTAGGGAGTATGAATTGTTTTCAGATTATTTCTATAACTAAATGTGTACTTCCAATTTCTTCTCTACCTGAAGTTGATGATTACGTGTTGGTACATTTTTCACAACAAGAAATAGACTAATATGTATATCGTGGGAAACCTTCATACAACGGCTATAATTTAATTAAAATGGAAGTTTATACAAATTAGAATTGGGCACAAACATTTACTAAAACATCTTTATAACTTTCATTTTAGAGCAGTTGCTGCAAAGTATAACCAAAATGATTTGTTTTTGATGATTTCTCTGTGAGAAACAATCCGTGTCTGACGGTGAACTAATGTGTAGATGAGTGGAATGTACGACGCGCATTTCATCCTACTTAAGACTCGTCATCTGGATGTGTCTGTCTCCAACTGACTGATGTTGTTCCAATTATAAGTCAAGCCCAGTACCAATTGCTTCAGAAACCAAAGTGTTATCCCTTGACCACTGAGTCATTATAATCATTCCCTATATGACGAGTGTAGTATATTCGTTGATGTTATAGCTTGTGAATCTCCGTCGTTGGTTTTTAGTCCTAGAAATATAATAGAGTGCATGTCTAGTTCACCTTGTCCTCGCTACTGAAGATTATTCCAGATTGGAAAAAGTAGTGAAATTCAATGCCAGGGGAAACTATAGACCGTAAAAAAACATATTAAGCCTTAACATAATTGTATACTTTTCCAAGTTACCACATTTTACAGTAACACTTCATGAAGAAATCAACATGACAGCGGACAACCAAAGAAAAAAGAATGACACCAACAAGAAAGATAATAGTTTGTGATAAAAATGATAGACAAGCATACAACGCACGATCTTGGATAAAGGTATATCGGTCCGAATCACTATATATACTTGTCACACAGCACACAAAAGGAGAATCCAAAAGGTAGAAAGGTATATTAGACTTTACAAAACGGTCATGCTGATACACAGGACGTATAATAAGTTCCGCAAGATTTTGAGGAGGATAAGCAATAAGTACATCTTTGGTATTGTAATTGATTGGATGCTATACTACCTGACATGGAGCTGACTCATCGGTTTGGGGGGATGAATTTCAACCAAAGGGTCACGGGTTCGA